CTTTCTGGGCGAAGTTCAATTATATTTTATAAAGGCAAAATGAGAGTAAAATCAAGACTTTCTTGTTGATATGAAAAGATACAACCAAGCATTTTAAAATAAAGTGATTTAAGTATAGTTTTCAAATTCTGTAGAATCAGAAGAGAAAAATCTTAAAAAGTTATAAATACAACATCTAAATAGAACTCTACCCACCTACCTCAGAGTGATGTTTGTTAGTTACTTGACTGCCAAAAATCACTGACAGAAGACTCTCACTTACCTTAATAATAGGCTAATACTTGACATTTGTATTAGTCTTTCAGTCCTTTAACCTGCTATTTGCCAATCCCAGGTTAGGAAATAGATACTAGATGATTAGCATCCCCCATGACACATTTCACATACACAAACCCTTATCTGTCAAGATTGCAAATCACCTGTGCAGACACAAAGCAAGGCTGCCCTCCTGGACCATCCGTTAACTAACCTGCATATGTTTCAGACATCTGGTAGAGTTCAGCCAGTCCTGGTCCACAACACATCCCTCCAGTGTTTCCTCTTATACTTGGAATCCTCTAGCTCTATGCAGATGCTTCCTACTAGCCAGGTTCCATGTGCCTCCCTGACCTCCACCTTCTCCTTCCCTTCACCTTCCCTTCTTCTCTTCTTTATGATAGACTTACCAAGTCCAGAGAGAACGCCATCTTCATGGGCTTGTCCATATTCTCAGCAACATCACAGCCCAGAGCACTCAGTCTCTGTTGGTATTCAGCCCTCCTCATTCAGGCAGGTACAGCAGGATTCTGCAGACTTCTTGATGATTAAGGAGCCATGGCCCTCGAAAGGACCAATACAAGGATCCAGTAAGTCCAGGGACAATGCAGGAGACCCACGTCCATCCTCTTCATATCCAAACCTACTTCTCTGGAGAGTGCAAACCTTTGGGGAGAAATTAAGAACACACTGCCCACATCTTAAGTTTCATTCCCACCAGCTGAGTTGAAATGCGAGGATTTCAAACTTTCAGACCTTAGTGCGTGGAAAGTGTCAGCACATCTGAATACAGCTCAGCATTCCAGCATGCCCTTTGAACAGCCTCACCTAAACAAAAGCTTGAAAACCCAGGCATTCAGCAGACTGACCTTGATACTTCTGAGTAACGAGCAGTGATTATAGTTCAGAGTCTTGCTCAAAGATGGGAAGAAAATCAATCTCTTAAATAAATTGAGTCATTTCCCAAGAGAAAAAGCCAGTCCTATTCGCAAACTAGGAGGTTATTTCTGTTGCAAATTTAAGGAATGAAATGTTCCCAAGAGCAAGGACTTTTAGATATGTAGCCAATAAATAACGTGCACTGGGTGACGCACTAAATATAACTATTCTATCTCAGTGACGCAGGTTGATGCAAATGTCATTGTTTTCCTGCAAAAAGCCTGGAAATAATCAGATGGAATTTTCTCTTGGAATGTAAGAGCCAAAACCTGTGCTTATTTCATTATCAAAATGACAGCTCCTTTATGAAATCATAATAGTCCCAATAATAAACCTGTTAGATTTTAATATTTCCACAAACAGCTGCTTTTCCTCATTGGTAATCTAGAAAGCATTAAGTGAAGAATGCATCTGCTGTCAGATTAGATATCTTCAGGATTTCGGAATCATTTTGAGATCTTAATAATTTCAGACAAAAATATCTAGTTATTTAAAAGAAATTTAAGGCGTTATGTTTAGAAATTACTTCCTTCACCTCTATCTCATTAGCAATAGGTGTTGGTGGATTAATGACATACCTCAGATGAGTTATTGACAGCAAGGTTCTTGGTAACATTTTTTTTCATTGTACTATTATTGTTCCCAACAGAAGTGTATCTGCTTGTACTGGAGTATGTGTGAATTACTATGTAAAGCACTGTGGTTGGACTGTTTGGCAAATATCATTTGACTTATCTCTAGTAACAGTACCTATCTCTGTTATTGGGCTGTGTTGCGATATTGAGATGGCTAACTTAGATAAAGTCTTAGGACTTCTAACATCTTGGTCACTGCCTGGCATACAATGAATGTCATAGTGTTGTATCTTTTTCTAATTCTGACTCTGTAGTTTGTTACCTTACAGACTGTGTCTGCTGATCACGGCAGATTCCTAACGCTCCATCAGCCCTCTTTTCCATTTCACGTTGAAAGCGAGCTTATTTGGATACCTTGCATACTGAAATGACTATTCCTAAAGAGAGATTTTTGCTGTAACTTCATCCATGTTGATTTGATAACTCTAAGAAAACTATGGTTTTTCACTCTAATACAGTGTTACCACCTGCTTTTCCATGCTCTTTATGTCTGACCCATTTCCTACAAATACCCCTCATTCTCAAGGCTGTTCCTCCCAATATACCCCATCTTTTTAAATGGTACTAAATATTATCACCATCCATGTAGTTGCCCAAACAAGAAACCTGAATGTTATCTTTTGCCCTCTTTTCTTCATCCTACAGCTGACTCATCAGATACAGTCATTTCTACTTAAAAAAAACACAACTTTAAGCCACCAGCTTTCCCCACCCAAACCAGCTCTCCTCATCCAGGTCACCCCCACCTTTTGCCTGCAGAAATGCATGAACTTCCTATGGTGTGGTTTTCCCCCTTTCCACTCACATTGTAGTCATGTCCAGTACATTGGCCCAATCTTCAAAGTAGAATATTCAAATAAAAAAATAGACCATGACTTACCTTGATTTTTTAATATTTTATTATTTATTTATGTGTATGCATGTATTGCCTACATACATGTAAGTGCACCCATGTTGTGCAATGCCTTTGGATGTCAGAAAAGGGCACTAGATCCCCTAGAACTGGAGTTATGGATGGTAATTAGCCACCATGTGGGTGCTGGGAATCAAGCCTGGGTCCTCTGCAAGTGCAGCCAGTGCTCTTAAACACTAAGCAATCTCTGTAGCACCCCCCCCCTGTGTCTTACCTTTAATAAATATCCACAGCAATTTCCCATCATGTGCAGAATAAAATTCCAACTCATAATTATGGCCTGTGAGCTTAGTTAGTCTGGCCTCTTGTAAGATCACAGGGAGTGCTCTTCCCATCACTGCAGCCCCTTTATTTTTCAGTAGTCATCTCAATGAATGCTCATACACAGTATTTATTTTTGTCATCACTTGAGTATCTTAGTTTCCATCACCGATCCATAAACTCCCTGAGGTCAGGGATTATGTCAATTTTATTGTCACCGTACCTTCAGTGCTTCACATAATTTCAACATGGCGGGCACATAAAAATGTTTTATTCAGTAAGCAAATGAACTTAACCCAAATTCTAATTATGATCTCATAATATTTTCTTATTACAGTTATATTTAAACATTTTAAATTGATCACTTATAATAGAGACTATCTTTGTGCAAGACTCTAGACACTCAGAGATCTATAGGAATTTCATTGTCAAAAGCCTTTGAAAATTATATTCCATATTCTATATGCACCCAGGCACTATAGGTTGACTGTTGCATGTTTTTGTTTTGGTATAAATATTCAAATTGATCTCCCTCCTTCCAAACTAACTAATATTAAGATTTTCAGAATAGCTACTCCAAATCGTAATATTCATGAACATTCAAAATGAGTATTTCACATCTTAAAGTAAAACGTTAAAGCCAAGTGTGTTATTATACATACTTTAAATTTCTTTATTAGCTACTGTTGAGATTTTTATAATGGTTTGTATTTACCAAAGAATATGTCTGACACATTTATGAATGGTATAACTTTGAGCAAGAATGGTAATCATGACCAAATTAATATTAGTCTTCTTGCTTTACGTAAAGCTATTTGTGCATTAGGCATAAAAGGGCACTTTGGTAATTTAAGCTAAGAAAATCACAAAGTTAGTGGGTAAAATATGAAATGTTAAAGAGAAACTACACTTGAAATCTATTTTCATTGAAACTTTAGATTTATCATTCATTCTTAAATTCACTTCCCTCTAAAAAACAAGACCATTATATTAGAAAATAATGTGTCTTAAAAAATCTAAGCCGTCAGCTTCTACTTCAAGGAGGAAGGACTATAATTGCTAATGAGGCCATGGATGTTGAATGTCTCAGTGCGCCCATTGGGGCCACCTCTTGCCTGTTGTACAAGAAGCTGTCATATCAAATTCTTGTCCAAACTCCATGGGCACTTTGATTCCTAACCTTTTCAGAGAAACCTAATCTGAAATCAAAGTCAAGTTTCTTAGATGTGGTCAGACAAGGTCACATTTAAACACTCCAGTGAACCTGCAGATCAGAGTTGAAAGGTAATGCCTCCCTCCTGAAATTGGCACAGAGTTACCTACCAGCTAACCTTTCAGCTTTGACTTGCCTTTTTCACCTCTACCC